CCTACGTGCACTTATGTTGTGATTCTGTGTTTATGTGCATCTTTCTGTATATTTTGTTTGATCAGGCTGTAGCTAGTTCAGATGTGATAGCTAGCTTGCTCTAAATTTACGCTTCATGTGTGTCTTAATCTTTGCTTTCAGATGTAATATATGCACAGCATTTGTTGGCTTTGTGCTTGCTCTTTTAAAAGAAGAATGAATAGAAAGTTTATAGTAGTAGTACTTGTCTATCTGGTGTTATTTAAGTTAGAAATGATAAAGGCGTGATGCTTGTGCAGGTCTACAGTTCTACATTCAAATACAATCCCTTCAAAGGAACAGCCGATTGCTGCTGCCAATATGAGGGACCGGCAAAATGGCGAAGAGTCGTGCAGTAGAAACTGCAGAGATTCTGAAGGCCTTGCAAATAGTCTAACAAGAACCATGCAGGCTCAGCCAAGAATTGCCCTAGGTATTTTCTGTCAATCATGAAATCTTTTGCTAGTTTTGCTTTCTTTAATGATGTGCTTTTCTAATGATGCTTGTCTGGTTCCCAATGCCTCTATTCGAATCCAACAGCCAAAACAGGAAAGGTTGTGGGTCCAGTTTTGGCATATGATTCTGGAAATAAAGAAAAATATGATCCTAGGTCTCAAGTCAGGAATACAGTATTCCCCTCTCAGATTATGCCTTCAGCATACTGTTATGACAGAAGTGGCATGGTGAAGCAAGAAAGGCCTGTTGTGGAAACAGAGAGGGACGTGAGTTCTCATGCAAAGCCAATGCCACCATGTGGCATGGCTGCCAAGTTAGCCCCAGATATTGCTATAAATATTGATAGCAACCCATTCTATATGATGCGAGCTGGAGTCACGAAACCAGATCGTGTTGAGGACAGAATTACCATCGACACAAACTTATTGCAGGCGAAATCTCAATATGGTGGAATTGGAGTTGCTGCAGCAGCAGCTACTACTGCTGCAGCTCATAGAAAAGTAGGGACTGTTCAGTATGGTATCTCCAGGATGTACTAGAAAATGGCTCAAGTGGTGAATGGTGTATGATTTTTTGAGACGAACACTCTGTTGAGTGGGAAAGTTCTTTTCAGAAATGGGGAGGAAAAGCTCTGCGACCAAAGGGTATGGTGATTGTACAGGCAGGGAAATCTGCGGGGATCTCGTCCTCTTTCTAATTGTCAGCTTTTCTTAGTTATCACAAGACTGATTGATATTTTCATCATGAGATTCATGTTAGTGAAATCATACTTTGATTACCTGATGGTAGTTTGTGTATGGCCATGATTCATTACCCATACTCTCTCTCTCTCTCTCTCTCTCTCTCTCTCTCTCTCTCTCTCTCTCACACACACACACACACACACACACACACACACACACACACACACAAGTATTGTTAGTGGTAAGAGATATTATTGGCAATTGGAGGTTCTTTTTCTTTCTTCTGCTTGAAGTATCAATTGAAAGATGGTTTTCTAGCTTTTACCTACATGGCAAGAGAAAGATCTAAGGCGAAGTGAGAAATGTCCCGCGCAAACTATTTTTGTCAAGCTCTCTCTTTGTTTTGTCACTTAACTTCGTTTCCTTACTAGGCATTTGGTTTAGTCCGTATTTATTTTTGAAATTTGCAAGCTCGTCGAAAAATATATGATAAAGGAGTATAGTTTCCTCATTCAGAGCTCAAGGGAGTTTTCTCCCTCATGTTAAGGGCCTCATCGTCAAAATTTGAGGAACAGAAGGTAAATCACTCAGAGACTTATTGGTGTTCGGATAACTTGTTTGAAGATGTATTAAAAATCTGCGCAGAACGATAACTTGTTTGGATGATTGTATATTTTTCCTGAATTTTGTGTGTTACCAGTATTCCCCAAAAATCTATCCTTTTTTTCTTCTAAAGAAACTCTCTTGAAATTGGACTTTTTCGTGGTAAACATTTTTTTTTATTATCTAAAAGCGTCAAATGAGGATGTGAATTTTATGCTTTCAGATTCAGTATGGCTTTGTTCGCCAATGATTGAGAATCGATGTGACTTTTTTTTTTTTTGTTGCTAATTGTTGTACATTTTGGTGTTAAAACAACTGAACTTGCTGGAAAATGGAGATCAAATCAAACTTATATGAGCAATTTTAGAGAAGGCCCCAGTGTGATTTTTATCTAAGGAGAGACTCGGTCAATCAAATCAAGCAACAATTTTTTATTTTTTATTTTTCTTTGTGGTACATCATGAAATATATACTTTCGCGCACTCTAAACTATTGGAAGAGTGTATCTACAGAATCTGTGATTTTTCTGTGTTCTCCATTATTGTCTTCAAATTCTTGTATTGAATTATATATAGGTTAGTCCCCTCCATTTTTTTTTCACTAAGTTAATAAACTCGCGCTTTGCGCCGGTTGACATTTCTTTTTTGTGAAATAAGTTTGATGTTGAAGAGAGAAAATATTATCGTATAAAAAATAATAAACAAATATATAGTGACTGTAAGTCATACATAACAAAATTACTAAAGATCAAGCATATACGAAAATGTCCATATAAAAATACAACAAAAAACAAATCCAAATAAATAGAACAATGCTTACCTTTTTGTAGTTTAATAATATCAGAGTTTTCGACGAAAAATCTTCTCAATTACGGTACAGAAGTTAATACTGATTTTATATAGAAAATTTTTGTGGCATCACTTTTTCGCTATTTAATGTTGTTCATAAATAATACATTAGCAATCTTGTAAAAATATTATTCCAATAAAGCACTCCAATTGTCTCTCTGTAACTAAAACTGTTGGAAGATAATTTTTTATAGATTATCAGAATTATTAATTTTAAGGTTCTTTTAATGCATGAACGGACAATGATTAAAATGTATAAACCATTTATAAGGTTCTCATACAAAAGGTACCTATTTAAACTTATAGATCTATTTTGCTTCAACTTTGTTAAAAATAAGTATCTCCCTAGATAATTTATTACTCTAAAGACATTTTACAAATACATTGCGAGATTGTACCATCCGTGTTTGGTCAATAAACTATAATAGCGGAAGGGGAAAAAGTGTGAAACATGTATAAATAGGCATTAAAACGTCTAACTAATAAACAATTATGGGGGAGGGAAAAATTAAGTATAGTAGAATTTGGACGCTTAAAACTTAAAAGTAAAGTATATGGAAAATGAGAGAAAAAAGCAAGAAAAAAATAATAGTTTTTTTTACCCAAGAGATATGCGAATACACGTTTGCTATGATCAAAATTACACACAACAAAAAAAATCTGATGTTTTTTTCTTGATTTTTAATTGACTCAAACATAACTATATTGTTCAAATCATAGACAATAGTAATTGATATCAATATCATAGCACAATAGTACTAAGAATAAACATGACACGGCTAAAGTTTCTACCCTGGGCGATTATCTTCCACTCCTCTTTCCTCCAGCCCTTTCCTTTAATTTTTACCCTCTCTCAAAGCATAGAGTTATTTTTCATGTGTCTGTTATACTTATATATTTAGCCCAAAACTCAAAACTGATGAGGCTTTGGTCTTCTAGGGTTTAATTAGTGGTGACTTTTAGTAATTACTGGGAACAGTTAAGGTTTTGACTTTTAAAGTTTTAAACATTTGTATTGAATTGTGTATAAAAAAAGGGAAAAATGACAGAAAAATAAGAAAAAAAGATAAATACATTTCTTGACTTTAGAGAGTGTCACCTCACCTTGTCCAAGGCTCTGCTTTATATTAATATATAGATATAGATAGATAAATAGATTCTTTTGGAGAAAAAGTCCAAAACCATACATTATCTTTGGCTTTAGACTCAAAGTCATTCATATTCTTTCTAATCAAGAATAACTGACACCTTATGAAATTAGTCGAGATGCGTACAAGTTATTAGGACATTACGGTTATCATCATACTATATTATAAGTATGAAAACTTTTAGGTGAAATTATTTTACTAAAATATTCTAAAAAAATTGAAGGACCAAAATATCCTATATATTTACCCTCTAAATGTATGTATAGAGTAGCAACTATTGTACGATGAATGAGCTAATTGGTAATTAATTAAGAGACTCAATAGCTAGAACCGTTAGATATTGGTAAACTAAAGTACGAAACGGTGCTCCCTTAGTAATGTCTATTCAATGTCTTGGACTTGCTTTCATCTTCCAATATCCAATACATACCGCAATATTTTAACTCTTGAAGTGTATCCGTGCATTTAATCAATCAGGTTAATAATTATTATCTTAATTAATTATTAACCAACCTTCTCATCCTTTCTCTCAAACGTACATGAAGAATTTGAGGAGTTGTAATTTGAAAAATTATTTATTAGAAACGAGTAGCGCTTCAACTGAATTGTGCTTTTTGATGTGGTGGTGAAATAGATGTCCTCTTGGTTACCTATATACTGTTACTTTTTTTTTGTTATTTTATTATTACATTTTTTTTACAAATCAGAAGTCACGTACGTAGTATCTTCAGGGAATTGCTGGACGCCTGGACCTTTATACATTGGAATGCTATATAGTATGTCTGCTTCGTATAGGTATCATGTAAAAGATCTTTATTTGCGTAGCTATGACTTTTTATAATGTGAAGAGCAAATTAGTCCTATTTAATTGTTTTGATAATCTATTTGTATTTGTTTGTAGTGTCAAACATTTTACGACAAGGAAAATTTGGTATAAATAGTCATGCAATACTTCACTTTGCACTGGTAGTACTGCTTGAACAAGTCTACAACAATGATATTATATATAATTTCATGGAGAGGCTTAATTTATTGAGCTTTTTTATGTGATTTCGGGTAAAACATCGTCTACTCCTAACATTCTTCTAATTAGACCTTGATGTTCCTCATATAGTACACTAATCATAGAAACATAGTTACGTTTCTAAATTTGATGCAGTTTCATCACCATACTCACCAGTATTGATATGAGATTAAAAGCATTATAGTTGTAAAAATTGTTATTTGCACTCCATGCATGTGGTAAGAAATTAAATGTCAATTTTCACCATTGTATGTTTGAACTCAGCCTTTTTGATTATCTTTATCTAATTATATTTTCTTACTCTTCAGTACCTAATGATTGGTCTTAAATCTTCCTCTTGGGCGATAGAGTTGATATTATTTTATCAGAGTCTATGGAATACCTTTTTGGGTTGTCAGGTAAAAACCTATTTGGTCCTTTATGATCTTTCGGTGATTCTGTCACTTGGAATACTGTAGCAGTTGTGCTAGATATTATTATTGTTCTTTATTGTTATTTGGTTCTATTTTAATTTACTATTTAATTCTTGATTATATTGTGTACTTATTTTTTAATTAAAAAAGGGATATAAAGTGAACTACTCAATTTAATTTACTTGCATTATATATTTATAGAGCCAGATCTTTTTCATCTGCGATTTATCTTTGATAAACTCCATATCTCTTCATGTATTTTAATTTAAAAATAAAATAAAATTGTATTAAGAAAAATAATTATCGGTCTCTTAATTTTTATTCTTTTATAGTTTATGTATGGTTGTTTATCAAACCTAACTAAAAGAAGTAATTTTTGATTTCCTTAACAACATGTGGAATTGGTCGGAGTACTCCATTGAAATAAGGATTTAATACATATATTGCTTAGAATAATTATCGGGACATTATTGGATCTTAAAATTCGGACCTCTTTTTATTACATGCATATTAATGTATGAAAACTTTGAGCAGGTTTTTTTAATGCAGGCTTTGAAGATATTCCATCATTTTGGGTTCAACACCCATGCCACTAAAATGAGATAACATTTCATTATTTGAACTTGTACTTTTTTCTTTAAATTATTTAAACCTAACATATATTTTAATAATATTCATGTTATGTTTAAAATATTTATATTGATTGATATGAGATACACGTGCAACCGACATATCAGCGTAAACTAGTTAAAAAAAAGGACCAAACTTAAAAAGCCAGTTTCCAGCCAACTGTATGCTGCTTGATTATTGTACATATCATATGACCTCAGGGAGTGGAAGTATGGCATGGGCTTTAGCGATAGGGGTGGGTTGGCAAGTTGGGTTGAGGGGGAGGGGGCAGAAGGCACATAATTTCATGGAAAATGCACAGCATGTGTTTCTCCACATAGCCATCATTATTCAATATCCATTACCACAACCTTTTTCTGCCTGCCTACATACTGTCCATAATGTGTTGTGTGCATTGTCTCAACACAACCCCACTGTGTTTCACTGTCTTTTTACCCACTTGCTCCTGTCAACCCCTTACTCTCTATA